TCACATCTTTGTTTGAACATATGGTCTTAATAACCTTCAACTTTTAACTTAAATATAGTTGTATTCTTTGTTCGAACACCAATTTGAACATAGGAACATAATGCAAAAATAATGTAACAATCTTTCCTTTTCTGCATTATATTTGCTGCACAACATCTTTGTTATTTGGTTCTTGGCGCATGGCCATTACATTCACTTTGAACATCCAAATGGAAAGATGCCCTCTATTTAAGAACATATTGTTTTTTAATAAAATAAATTCATCCGCTACGAAGACTAGTTTAAAACCATATCTAACTAGCAGTGATCCCAAAACGAGGTTCTTTCCGATGTCCGGCATGTGTAGAACATCCTTCAGGATCAATTTTTTCTTGAAAGCCATTTTTAGCACTGTTGTTCCCACTCCTTCGACTTCGGAAGATGCATGGTTGCCCATGTGTAATTTTCTCTCCCCAGTCTCTTTGTAAATCGAGAAACTCGCCTTGTTGCAATAAACATGGGAAGTGACACCGGTATCAATGAACCATGCCTTTAAAATTTCAAAGTGACTAGTCTCGTACACAACATATACAAGATTATCAGCGCTGAGGTCACGATTAGTCTTGTGGGACATCTCAACTAAGTGGGAACTCTGATTAGACTTCTTTTATGTAGCACATACAATGCAAACGCCACAGATGTTAATTAAAACCACATCTTTTCCTGCCACTGTTTGATATTAACCCTTGTGAACGGTTGGAGAATCAACACCTAGGGCATCATTTGTGTGGCATATCCCGAAGTGACTGTCTGGATTGCAAAAGAGGCTGCATTTTGTGCCACAAAAGCCGCAATAGAAAACCCATAGAATCCTTCGAAGCCTTCGGGAGCAAATCCTACGAACCCGACAGCTGGTCCAGTATATGCCGGTGTGGAGCCGACACTGAAAATCCCAACATTCTCCACTACGTTATTTACAGCATTTTTAGTCTATACCTCAGAGAGGTCGACACCGGCCAATGACACAATCGGATTTTTGGCAGCATCCATGATGTCGCCGTATTGATCGTTGGCCGCCATTCTTGCAATATATCTAAAAATATTTATTTTTACGATTGTTAGATATATAATAATATTATTATATTGCGAGAACATAATTATATAAATAAATTTGATATCACAATAATTTTATCGAAATAAATTTGATAATCTCAATAATTTTATCGAAATAAATTCGACAATCACAACAATTTATTGAAATAAATTTGATTATCACGTCAAGTCGAGATATAACCTTTCTCCATAGAAAACGAATATGTCCCGCTAGTGCCTCCGGTTCGTGGCACAAAGTTATCAAAGATAAAATGATTTTCGTCTCAAAATTAGGTGGCATTTTAATATTTCAGAGCTTCGACGAACTAAAACAAAGCGAACTAAAACTGTGTCAGAAAGGTAAATCTAGAAGAGAAACTAGAACCGATACCGAAAACTTACCAAAAATCTTGACTAACACCGGAATAACAAGGAACAAATATCACGGGAAAGCTTTTTTGGGTTTGTGTAGTGTAGTTGTTGTGTTTTCGAAATGACGAGAAGTGCCCTATATATCGGCCTCCACCAAAAGCAACGGATATGGATTAAATTCATTCCACTAAATTGAAATTCTAAAGGGCATGCACATTTCGATGAACCAAATATTGGCTATAATTAGAATTACGTTGAACAGAATTTGTCCAGACAGAAACATTAAAAATGATACTTAATAAAAATTTAATAATAATAAAAGACTTTTATACTTTTAACTAAAATATTCCATTTATATTATAAAAACAAGATATACTTATTAATATATATATTAATAGTATAGTTTATTAATATCATAGTGCATATAATATGCATAGATAGTTTATTAATATATGTTTATTGTTTAATATTTTTTTTTTTGATATATAATATATTTTATTTAAATTGAAGATTTTGCTCGTTGTTCAAATTTTATTTTATTCTTTGAATAATATATTTTTTTATGTTTATTAATACTAACAAGTAATTTTTTTTGGAGCAATATATTTTTCTAAGTTATTATATATTAATTCTTTTACTATAAGGTTCATTTATAATTCAATTTTTATTTTTTTAATCTCAATTGAAAGTAAAACGCATATTTAGTTATATTTTGAGAAATTTTTTATGATATTTTTTATTTTTCTGTTCTTATTCATTTTAATATAATATTTTTATATATATAATTTTATATTTAGAAATTTATGTAATTTTTTCCAATTTTTTTCCAATTTTTTTCAATAATATTTTATACATGTCTCTAATCTTATTCATATTTTTTTGTCTACTTTTTTTCATCAACAATCCTCCAAAAGAAATTCCAACTATTTTTCCTTTTTAATATCTAATAATCTAAAATATTAGTTACATTAAATAATTAATTTTTTCACATTCACCTAAAAAATGAACTCTATATTTTCAGATAATATAAATTCATTATACAATATATATAGGCAATTACATTATATTGTTATATAATATAAATGACTTTAATAAGAAAAAAAAATGAGAAGAAAAACATGTATGTATGATAAAAAAAAAAATTCAGAAAAAATTTATTTATCTATGAAAGGAAAGAAAAAAGATTAATAAATTTACTAACTGACTCAACATAAATTTCGATATTTAGGTTAACAAGAACTTGTTTTTTAATATCTTCATTCACAATGTCATTTGTTTGAAAATTTCTATATTGATCATTTTTTCTAAATCACAACTAAATATCATATACTCCCTCCGTCCCATGAAATTAGTCGCGTTTCTTTTTGTACGGAATTTAAGAAAATTTGGTTTATATACTTAATTAGTGTGATTAGTTAATGTAATATACGTAATAAAATTTTAATTTAATTATTTTTATTTGATGAAATATTGAAATAAAAGTTGAAATATTATTTTATTTTATTTTATTTAAATTTAATGTTTTATTTATTGAAATTGTTTTATTTTTAAAAAATATTATTTTATTAATTGTAAATTATGCAATTAGATAAAAAAAAATTAATTGTAATACAAAAATAACAGCCGTAATATTAAAACTTTTTATATAAACAAAACATCAAATTTTTCGAATTTGATTGTTGGTAGGGATAGTTCGATATTACATACCAAAATTTATAATGCATATTTTATTATATATCTTACCAAAATTTTTAGTATGCTATTTTATCGTAATGAGATATTGTACCAATAATTTGGTATACTGAATTTATAGATGAAAAACTACTGAATTGCAGAAATAACACATACCATACTAAAAAATACCGAAAATGCCAAATTTCAGTATACCGAATTTTTTTGTTTGGTATCAATATTATTTTAATATACCAAAAAATTCGGTGTGGTATAAAATATGGTTCGGTATTATCTGAATAAGTATCGAGTCAATTCTAATCGAATTACATGTGTGATATAAGAATATAATATTCTATACTAAAATATAAAAATTAATAATAATTTTACAATTTTAAGAATATATTAGAAAATTAAGTATTTTAGTATCAATATAGTAAATTATTGATATATACCGATATATCAAATACTAAAATATCAAACTGTATTGATAATTTCGGTATATATTATACCAACAATGCTAAAAGTATATGCAATTGTCGTACTGAAAATGTTCGGTACGGTATCATACCATATAAAAACTTACGATATACAATAATGTTGAAACTTTAGTATTTTTTCATACGGTACCTGCATTATTTGAGCAAATTTATATTTTGAATGAATTTTTTTTAATGAAATATAAAAATCAAATCTCATTATTAACTAATTTTCAATTGTAAAATATCAAATTAAATATTTTTTATATTATATTAAAAATTAATTAAAATTTTTAGAAATTACATAAACACTTACTTATGTCATATTGAATATTTAGTAATTTTTATTATTCAAAATTTTAGCCATATTTTTAAATTTATAATAAAACAAACAATAAAAGTTAGAGATTTTAGTAATTGAATAAAATATAATTAAATTTATAATTGTAATTAGTATTTACTAATTATTACTATATTAAGAAATGTGACTAATTTCGAGGGAGGGCCAATAAAGAAAAAATGAACTAATTTTACGAGACAGAGGGAGTATAATATTTGCATATTCATATTGATTTTCTCAAATTGAAGAAGAAAATGTTAGTTTAAATAGAAGAAATAAAACTAAAATAATAATTGTTAATTCTATTAGAAAAGAGTAAAATACATTATTCAAAACAGATAAATATATAAATGCTATTTTTAATAAATAAATAGTTTTTATAATCTCAATGACAAAATAAATCAATTTCATGAAATAAAATCATGCAATATTATGGCTATAATTTGGTTCATATATATATATCTTTATTTTTTTGGGTTTCGGATACAACAAATTATTTTGTTGTTTGAATAGGTTTCAGAGCATGATAGACTTCACCAAATCTATAATTTATCAAACCTAAGTCTCAATCAACCGACCACATCATTTGGTATATGTGATTGGTGGTGCGCCAGCGGCTTACCGATAATCATTTGCCTAGCCACTTCGTTAATAATTATTATATAGCCTGCATACATTTCAACTACCGAATAGTCGGTCTAATAAATCATGAATTTAATTTATAAATTAAATTTCATTGATTAAATAAATAATCGATTAACCGGTTTTCCAACAAGTTAAATAATAATAATAAATAGTTTCAATACTTTTGTTTTAAAAATACAAAAAGAATAAATATTTTTATAAAAAATTAAAGATTTTTTAGTATTTATATATAATTATAATATAATTAGATATTTTTGACCGAAAAAAAAAAAAAAAAATTCTATTTATTGAGTTGTAACATGCAGTATTTCGTTAGACAAGTGAAGTTGGGCTCACATTCATATAGCGTGTGTTCATAAGGTCCAATTCTATTTATTGTGCTAATTAAGTTGAAAATTGGCCCAAAATTATTTCCGTTGGGTACAGCGAAGTCGTCAATGGTGGTTTTTTACTTTTGGGTGTTCCTGCAGAGAACAATCGAGGAGTTCAGCTTTGCAAGAAGGTTTGGCAATGGCGATGGACAATGACAAGCTCCGGGACTTGGCGCTCGCAATTGCTGCCACTTGTTTCTTCGCTATCGTAATCTCCATTCGTCTCATCAAGCCTTTTTTGATAAACCCCAAGCGGAAGAAGAGGGAGTGTTATTTGAACAAGCAGACCAAACCTCAATCCGCATTCAAGCGAGTGCTGGCGGACAATTCGTATTCGCAGTTCAAGCATCTCAAGTTCGTTACGGAAGAGTTGCCGTCTGATGGTATGAATATCATCCGAAGCCATTTCTATTTCAGCTTTGTTGGAAATTTCAATTAGCAGATTTTTTTTTTTTTTTTTGTGTGTGTGTTATTTGTGTTTGATTGGAGCTTAATCATGTACTCTTTGATTCTAATTTTTGGTTTAGGTGAGTACACAAATTTACATCCGTACAAGGGAGAAATTTCCAAGTTGATGAAGAATCGGAATGTAGGGTTTCTGGAGGTTCTTAATGGTTGTGATAAATGGGGTTTGGAGATGCAGAATTCTTACGTGTGGGTTGATACTGAGTCGGAGTTACGAGAGCTTGTTGAAGTATTGACTAATGAAAGAGTGTTTGCAGTGGATACAGAGCAGCATAGCTTCAGATCCTTCTTAGGTTTCACAGCTCTCATACAGGTTTCCATTATCATTTCCACTGTGTTCAGTGTATTCCGTGTTATGCTTTTCTGCTTGGATGTGGCATGGTATGCAAAGGTGTTAGTTTGTGTAATTTTCATATTACAGTGCATGCATAATTTTTTAGGCAAGAATGTGTCTTTTGAAAATGCTTATGAGGTTTGAGTGCATTTATTATTTAATGAGTGTACTTAGGATAATAACCACCTGCTGTTATTTGGTAATAAAAGCAGTGATGTGGAGCAAGGGTGTGAACCAAAATCGTAGATGGAATTTCGAATTTTGAAATTGGAAAATTTTCAGGAGATATTGAACTTGAGAAGTTAGACTAAATTCATATCCAGTTTCAATAGTTTCAAACTTTTTTTTTGGCGGAACAATTAAAGAAGTTTTCTTGGTTTACTTATTGAAAAAAATAAAAATAGAAATTCGCAATGGACTTCCACAATGTTTTTGGTGCTTATAGAATGAGTTGGTAACGTGTCCAGTGAGTTCGGGTATATGGTGTTTGTGCTTGTTCTGAACATGTTATTGGTATAGGCTTGGCTCGATTCTTATAGGATTCGAGCTAAAATGGTGGCTCAAGCTTGGTTTGTTAAGCTCAACTTCAAGCTCGAGCTTGGCCTACGAGGTTAAACTTGAAATCAAGTTCGACTCGAATTTTATGTATCTTGTATATTTTTCAATAAATAAGTTAATTATGTAATTTTATTCGTATCTTGTTTTCAAATTGCATTAATAAGCGCAAGTTATGATACAAAATTTACATATTATATTAATGTATAAAATGATACAAACATCCAGCCACTAACGAGCTCAATCAAACTACATGCAAGTCAAGCTTGAGCTCGGCTCACTTACAAAATTAATAATTCTCGAGCGTAGGCTTGGCTCATCTAGCTCTGTAAATGAGTCGAGTTGAGTTGTTAACGAGTTGGATCGAGCTTAGCTACAAGCTACCCCATTTGTTTAACTGCTCTACTTCTTCTTCAGGTTGTGCCAAGTGCACCAATTTTTAACAATTTTTAATATTTGATTGGATTGTGTTATTGGGTTAATGGTTTTAAAATTTGTTGTTACATATATGTAAATATATATGTATTCAATTTGATACCACAAATTTTGATTTCTAGAATTCATAAAATCAAATTCATATTGATATCAACAATCTTGAAATAAAAAATTCTAACTAGAGGCCTGAGTTTTCAAATATCCAAATTGCAAATAATTTTTGAAACCAGTTAGTAAATTGGAAATTTATGGAATTTCATTTCCTTAGTGTGGAATGTGTCTTTGGGATAATTTATGTCAATAATTCTTAATCTTTTATGCATACCAAAGGATACATAGCTACGACTGATTATAAATTTATTCCACTTTTGTTTGGTTCAAAGCAAATTTACATGTTTATTTTCTTTGTATCAAATCAGATATCCACTGTAAAGGAAGATTACTTGGTTGACACAATTATGCTGCACGATAAGATGTTACTTCTTAGGCCGGTATTTGCTGATCCAGAAAAATGCAAGGTGATATTGTGCTTATTTCTGTTCAATTTGAATTTGCTTGTTTCTAACGCAGTATATATTTTGAAGTTTTCTAAGTGCCTTTCATTGGAAATGATTAGGAAATCATATTATGAGCTCCTTACAGTATCGTTTATATGTGAACAACTATTTCCATCCAAAACTGTTCTTTTTACTCTCTATAGTCACACTGACTTGGAAAATCATGCGTTGCAATATCATATTATTAATGTCAGGCACATGTTAGACATTTGAAATCTAGCCTTCCCTATCAATTACATTAAGATAACAATCTACTTTATGTAACGTTAATGGAAGATTTTTATTAAGATTGAAAACTTTTTTGGTGTTCTATTTGTTGTTAGAATATTGAACTTTTGTGAAAATTTGGAATCATATAGTGGAGCTCTCTACAACCAAAGGATGACTTGAGTTCTTGAGCACAAGGAAGTGGAGTGCATTCATTGACGTTCTTGATTTCATTTGCTTAAATTTCTTCTTTCAAAGCAACAATCCATCGCTGTATGCATCTAGAGCAGCATTTCAGTTTGGTTCCAACACGGCTGTTGTACATATGCTTATTTTAACACAATTGCAGTGCCATCTGGTTAAGGTTTTACTCAGTAAAGGCACATTATGTTTTTATTATTTCACCTTTTTATCAATGCATTTCAGCATCATGATATATGTAACAAAAACTATATATTTATATATTTTTGTTTCTGTGTTGTAAAGAAATTCATGTCCTGAAATCTTAATTGACTGCATCTAAATCAAACCTATTCTGTTAAAGAGCTCTTATTTTTTAAGTTGTCTTATTGCTATAGGTGTTTCATGGTGCTGATAATGATGTTCTTTGGCTTCAGAGAGACTACCATATTTATGTTGTCAACTTATTTGACACAGCCAAGGTGAATTGATAGATTTGTGTTCCTTCACTTTGTTTAGAGTTTCTAATGCAGAGAAGCCATGGGGTTTCAGGATGAACTAATTCTAGCAGCAGAAATTTCAATAGAAGAGTTATTTCTCCATGATTATGTCATTATACTGTTTTTGGTGGTATATAATGCTATTTATATAATTTATGGCTTTGTTATCTTATTTATTGTATTACAGGCATGCGATGTTTTATCGAAACCACAAAGATCATTGGCATACTTGCTTGAAACTTACTGCAGTGTTTCCACCAATAAACTTTTACAGGTTTGAGCATTAAATCTTACTTTCATTTATCTGTAATCACTGAGTTCTGGTACATGGCATGTCTAATAACTCTCCTGTGGGGGACATGGTGCAGTAGATAAGTTCTATAATTTTCAATTAGAATTAATGAAAAATTAGTTCTTTGAGAATATTCAGTTATTAGTTATACTTATACCCCATGGAAGCATATAAGTTGGGTGTCTACTTATTGCATGATTTATGATTGTATTCCATCAATGCAAAAGGTCCTTGGTATTTATTTTGTTACATATAAGGGGGCTCTTCGAAGGATTAGGTCGGATAAAACCTAATATCATATTTACTTTAATGTGCTCGGGTCCGAGATAATCGCAGGCCCGATACACTAATATTTATAGGATTATTAATCTAATCCAATACCCTAATATTATTTAATACAACCTAATAAAATTATTAAACTACCCTTAGTCTTAGTTCTTTTTCTTGCCCTATCCATTCCATTTTCTTCGCTCTCGCGGTAATTCATCAACTATATATGCAAGTATTGAACATATTTTATTATTTATTTATTTATTTTGTAACGAAGTATTGAACATATGTGAATGTACGAAAATATGAATGACTTGCACTTTAGTAATATAAGTTTGATGAGTGTTTGTAATAACTTATTTGATAAAAATTATAGTGAAATAAATATTAGACTTATTTTATATGAATATAATAATTAATTTTTTGTTTAATGTTTATTTAAAATTTATTTTGAATTCATTTGAAAAGTAACTGTATATATATTTTTATCTTAATCAACTAAATATAAAATGATAAGAATGAGAAATATTGCCAAAAAATAATTTATAATTTTGAAGATAAAATTAAATATATTTAATTTATAATGAAAAAACATCCTATCAAATTATACACGTATCATAATGATATCAATTAAAAATAATAGTGGATTATTATATATTATGTTGTTAGAAAAAAAAAATGCATAGGAAGAATATCGCTGATTATTTTATTATTTTCGTCAAAAGAAAAAATGATTTTACAATATACAAAACCGTAATATATTAAAACTATACAAAATACCTAAACTACCTTCATACTATTATAAATACAAAAATACCCTTATACATAATACATCTAACACTCCCCTCTAACTGGAGAATATAAATCGTATGATCCAAGTTTGTCACATAAAAATTTAATTCGAGGGCCTCTAAGAGATTTGGTAAGAATGTCTGCAAGTTGCTCATTCGAAGCAACATGGTGAGTGGCGATGCATCCAGATAATACCTTCTCCCGAATAAAATGACAATCAATCTCTATATGTTTAGTCATTTCATGAAACACCGGATTAGACGCAATATGCAAGGCAGCTTGATTGTCACAAAAGAGTTTCATTTCTGAAACTTCCACTATCTTGAGCTTATGAAGAAGTTGTTTTACCCAAATAAGTTCACATGTCGCTAATGCCATGGCTCGATATTCTGCCTCTGCACTTAAGTGAGCAACAACATTCTGTTTCTTACTTTACTATGAGATAAGGTTAGCTCCCACAAATATGCAATATCCCGAAGTAGAGCGTCTATCAACTAGGGATCCTGCCCAATCAGCATCCGAGTAGCCAATTACTTCAGTGTGACCTTGATTGGTGTACAATAATCCTCTACCAGGAGACCCTTTGATGTACTTCAAGATTCAAATGGTAGCATCTAAGTGACTATCGCATGGAGATTGAAGAAATTGACTCACAACACTTATAGCAAAAGAAATATCAGGTCGAGTAAGTGTGAAATAGTTAAGCTTACCAACCATTCTACGATATCTTTCTGCGTCAGCTAATGGCTCCCCTTTGTCCCGGAAGAAGCTTCAAATTTGGATCCATGGGAAAGTCTACTGGCTTGCAGTCAGATAAACCAGTTTCTTCAAGAATATCCAATGCGTACTTCCATTGTGAAAGAACAATACAATCACGTGATTGAGCAATCTCAATACCAAGAAAGTACTTCAATGGTCCCATATCCTAGTTTGAAAATGCTTAAATAGATGTTGCTTTACCTGAGTGGCCTCTTCTTTATCATTTCTGGTGATAACAATATCATCAACGTACACAAGAAGGTATAAACATTTACCACTCGATGTGTGCTTATAAAAGGCAGAATGGTCTAATGCGCTTCGGATCATGCCAAACTCCTGTATAACACTGCCAAATCGACCAAACCAAGCACGCGGAGATTGTTTCAATCTATAAAGTGAACGGCGTAGTTTGCAAACAAAAGCAGACTCCCCTTGAGCAACAAATCCAGGTGGTTGCTCCATATAAATTACCTCGTGAAGTTTGCCATGTAGAAATGCATTCTTAATATCAAGCTGATGAAGAGGCCAGGAATGCATAGCAGCCAAAGCAATAAAAAGACGGATCGAAGACATTTTGGCAACATGTGAGAAGGTTTCAGTATAATCCTCACCAAAGACCTGTGTGAAGCCCTTAGCCACCAAAGTGGCCTTGAGACGAGCAACTTGAGCATCTGCATCAACCTTAACTGCATAAACCCAACGACAAGCCACGAGAGACTTACCTAAAGGCAAAGGTACCAAGTCTCAAGTACCATTAGCATGCAAAGCAGCCATTTCATCTACCATTGCCTGTCGCCAATCTGGGTGAGAAAGAGCTTCACGAAGGGATTTAGGAAGGGAGATGGAAGATAAGTTTGACACAAAGGTATAGTATGTGGGAGACAAACGATGAAAACTTAGAAAATTGTAAATGGGATGAGGATTACGAGAAGAACGAGTACCTCGTCGTAACGGTGCAGGATCCGGCAGAATAGGAGCCGCAGGAGAAGAAGACAATGGCAAGTCTTGAGAGCCAGGACACTCGATAGACGCTGGAGGAACATGAGCGGTAGAACAATCGGAAGAGAGCACTTGCGAGCGAGGACGACGACTATAAACTTGAAGAGGTGGACGCGAAAGAAGAGGAGAAAAGAAAGGAATAGGTAACACATGGCTGACAGACGGGATTAAAGATGACGGAGAGAAATAAGGTGTGGACTCAAAAAAGGTAACATGAGCTGAAAAGTAATACCTACGAGTATCAGGAGAGAAACACTTATAACCCTTTTTAACTCTAGAATAGCTAAGGAAAACACACTTCAGCGCACGTAGAGCTAACTTATCCCGACCCAAGGAGTGATCATGCACAAATACAGTACATCCAAAGACACGAAGGGGTAAATGATATAAAGGATCTTGAGGGAACAATATCTGGTGGGGAATTTTATTCTGGAGAACCGAGGACGGCATGCGGTTGATAAGATAGCAGGCAGTAAGAACAACATCAGTCCAAAACCGGAAAGGAACATGATGATGCACAAGCAAAGTACGAGCAGTCTCAATTAGGTGGCAATTTTTGCGTTCAGCCAACCCATTTTGTTGAGGAGTATAGGCACAAGAGGATTGATGTAAAATACCATGAGATGACATAAACTGAGTCATAGGAGTAGAGAAGTATTCAGTAGCATTATTCGTCCGAAGTATTTTAAGGGAGACACCAAACTGATTTTGAATTTCAGCATAAAATGTTTCAAAGACAGAAAATAATTCGGAACGAGTTTTCATCAAATAAAACCAAGTACATCTTTAGAAATCATCAACAAAGGTAACAAAGTACTGAAACCCAAATACAGAAGTAGTTCGACATGGACCCTATATGAACTAAAGCAAAAGGCATATCAACCCTATTATTAACTTGCTGGGGAAACGAAACATGAGTTTGTTTTCCTAGCTGACACGACTCACAGGACAATGAAGATAAACTAGAAAGACTTGGAACAAGCCGATGCAACTTAGAGTGACTCGGATGACCCAGCCGGTGGTGTAGAAGTTGAGGAGAACTGGCAGTGGAACATGCAATTGGGAGTGAAGGTGGTGGAGGGTGGTCAAGGTGGTACAATCCATGGAGCTCAAGTCCTTTGCCAATCGTCCTCCCGTTCTGCGGTCCTGAATAGAGAATGAATCAGAGTTAAATGTTATTGAGCAGTGCAAAGTCTTGGTTAATTGACTAACATAAACAAGATTAAATGGACAATGAGGAACAAAAAGAACGGAGGATAAGGGAACACATTGCAATGGTTGAGCATCACCGATAGCCTTAACAGAAACTCGTGACCCATCAGCTAAAGTAATATCAGATAATGAGGTAGACTTATGAAATTCGGAAAACAATTTTGGATTACCAGATAGGTGATGAGAAGCGCCAGAATCAAGGACCCATGGTCCAAGAGAGGTACCAGTGTGAGCGACAGGGGCAACGGGTGAATGAGATGACTGCTTTGAAGCTTTGTATGCAAGATACTCCTCATAGTCTGAACCAGTTAAAGGCCCGATAACTGAGGGGTTTCAACCTGGGAACAACAGCCCGAGGTGGCCGGCCATGCAATTTAAAACATTTATCACGAGTATGGCTCCACATGTTGCAATAAGTGCAGCGTGGACGAGAGGTCCCACGAGAGCTCCCATGAGGACTATGATCACCTCGCATATGTGAAGAAGGTGAAGCTAGTAGAGCAGACTTGTCTCAAGAATCAATAATCGGATGTGCCACAGAGGAGACACATAATAAGCGAGAATAAACATCATCAAAAGTCGGAACTGTTAAGCTGGAAAGGAGTTGATCATGAACCGGACTCAAATCTGGACCAAGACCAACTAGTGCACACACCATATAGAATGTATCACGCTGAGCAAGCTCCTCCGCAGCCGTTTTCCCTGGAGGTAAAACTGAATTGAGTTCAACTTTGATAGATGAAAGTTTACCGAGATACTATGGAATTGTCAATCCGGGTTGACGAAGATTGACCAAATTAGATACCACGCTGTAGAGGCGCTGAATATCATTGGTATATAATGTCTCCAGAGATCATAACAGTTTGTAAAATTGGTAAAAATTGGATGAAGGCTTGGATCAATAGATTGCCAAAGCAAATTGCATAATAAAGCATCAGCCTTAAGCCATGCAGCTTTCTCAGTGTCAGCAAACCTTGACCCATACACCACATTTGGACAGCTTTAAACCAAGAGTCATAGTTAGAACCTCCAACCAATCGTTCTGTAGCAATAGCCGGGGTTGGAGAAAGAACACCCGTAAAAGAAGCAGACATGGTTGAATAGTGAATTGAAGAGAAATCTAAGCCACAACTTAATAACAATCCAACCTAGGAGGAGAAATCAGAACAACCTTGACAGACAGCAGACCGAAGGAAAGAAGAGAGGACAACGTAGCGGGCGGCAGTCGGCGCGGAGGCGGGCGACGCGGCGGGGTAGGGTGGATGACGGGATCACAGTGACTGTGATACCATGAAGAATATCGCTGTTTATTTTATTATTTTCGCCAAACGAAAAAATGATTTTACAATATACAAAACTCTAATATATGAAAACTATACAAAATACTTAAACTGCCCTCGTACTATTATAAATACAAAAATACCCCTATACATAATATATCTAACAGTATAAAACAAATTATATATTCCCTCCGTCCCGGATACCATATCCACTTTACTGTTGACACGAGGATTTAGGAAATGTATAATTAGTAAACAATTAAAAATGTATTAGTGAAAATAATTATAGATTAAAATTAAGATAACTCATTACTCTAATTAAAATTAAAAAAATTCTAAATTAAAAAATTTAAAATAAGATTAAAGTGTATAATTTTTTTTCAAAAAAAGAAAGTGACAAAATAAGTGGGACAAACGAAAATGAAAGATGGACATGGTAAGTGGGACGGATGAAGTAATTTATAATATGATTATGAAGGGTATTTTGGGTAAAAAAATTAATCATGTCATGTTATCTAACAAAATAAACATAATATAATTTTATCTATTGTTTAATCTATCAAAGTAATATTATACTCCCTCCGTCCTAAACACCGTGCAACATTTGTGTTTGGTATGGGAATTTACGTGGAGAGTATTAAGTATGGTAATTTGAGATAATTTGGATATTAAGTGATGTGATTGGAGAGAGAAATGATTATTTATTTTTTTGTTTGAGTGATGTGATGAGATAAAGTGAAGTGTATATTAATATATGTATATAAATATTACTCCCTCCGTCCCAAACAAGGTGCAACATTTGCTTTTGGCACGGGTTTTTAGGTGGGTAGTATTAAATATGACAATTTAGAAATTAGGTGATGTGATAGAGAGAGAAATATATATTTATTTTTTTTATTTGAACGATGTGAGGGGATAAAGTGTGAGGTATAGATTAAGTATAATTAATTATTTCCTATTTTGGAAATGTTGCAGGATGTTTGGGACATACCAAAAAGGAAATGTTGCAGGGTGTTTGGGACGGAGGGAGTATTAATTATTTTTTAAATTTAGAAATGTTGCAGTGAGTTTGGGACAAACAAAAAAGGAGATGTTGTAGGGTGTTTAGGACGGAGGGTGTATTAATTATTTCTAAATTTGAAAATGTTACAGTGAGTTTGGGACAAACAAAAAAGAAAATGTTGTAGCGTGTTTGGAACGGACGGAGTATTAATTAATCATTTGATTATTTAATTTATTTAATTAATCCTTAGTACTATAATGCAATCCTTTGAAGTAAACGCCCCAATAGAGTAAAAAGATTAGTGAGGAGTCAATGCTAGATTAATGTGTTATAGTAGTACATAGAATTAGTGTTCATTAATATTGTGTAATCTCAGTTAAGGATAATCTGAACACAATTCATCTTTCACTCTTCCAATTTTAACATAGTATGAAAGCAGAAGATTATGCTCCAACCTACATGCAGTCTTGTTTCTTCATTTTCAATTAATCTTTCTTTATGCTCATATTTGAACAGAAAAATAAAAATGAAGAAAGGAGAGATATTCTGTCGAAAAATATTGTTCTTTTTTTTTTCCATACAGGGATAGACATTTTTATACAAAAATTCCTAGTAAAAATAAAAGGAAATTATCCTCTATCTTATCCCATGAATTATAGAATCTCTAGTTGTACAAAGGAAACAAGACCAACTGACCAACAAAATATTTGTTTCCTAAATATAGATTGCTTTACATATTTTCCCACACTCCCCCTTAAGCTGTTGAATAGGTATTTTCCATTCTCAGCTTAGGTACAATAATTTGAAACATTGAGCTATTCAATCATTTTGTTAAATTATCTACTAGTTGACCAATTGTTGATACTTAGGGTGTGCAAATAAATATGTTGTCCAGCTTCTCTTTGATAAAATGTCTATCTATCTTGATATGTTTTGTTCGGTCATATTGCACCGGATTGTGAACTATGCTGAATGCAGACTCGTTGCAGTAGAGTCTCATAGGCCCTACCCCACTTTGTTTGTTGCTCCTCCATGTCACAAGATTTTCCCCAAGAAAGGTGCAATATCTATATGTTGACCTTCTATCAATGTAGACCCAACATAGTCTGCATAAGTATACTTTAGTATCAAACCTCCATTTCTTTTGAATAAAATACCTTTTCTTGGTATCCCTTTAAGGTACTGAAGTACTCTGTGGGCTGCAGACGAGCCCTTTTCGAGTTGTGCATAAACTGGCTGATTACATTTGCTGCAAATGCTATATCTGTTTGTGTGTGGGAGAGATAAAATGAGTCTCCTTATCAGTCACTAGTACATCTCTCGGTCTACTGCAGCATCACCTTCAGCTACCCCAAGCTTGATTCGGGCCCATAGGTGGCCATTGGTTTGCTTGTTGTCATGCTGTCTTCAATGAGGTTCTCCCCCTAAAGATAAGATGTAGTAAAATAAGATTCATTCTCATTGAATGTGACATCCATTGAGATAATTTCTTGGATGGAGAATGGACACTTGTATCCTTTTGAGTGGAAGAGTATCCCACAAAGATACATTTTTGAGCTCTAGGATCCATTTGGACGATGAACATGAACAAAAGACACACAACCCCAGCCCTAAAGCCTATTTCTAAACTCGGTTTTGAAACCCTAAACCATCGTGAAAACCTCATCCTCTTCCGTTGAAAGGTGAAGAATCGCAAAATTTATCCATAAAAAAAGAAGGTAAAAGAGAAAAGAAGCTTTCAACAGTTCCGACCAAAAAATGAACGAAATACCCACCGGAAATCGAATAAAAAACCAACGGGATGGATCGGATTGAGGTATTAAGACTGAGATCGCAACGGATGGAGGAATGAAATTTAGGGTTCGAATGGTAGGTTAGAGAGATAGTAAATGGGGTGTGGGATAAGATAGTAAATAAAGTGGGTAGGGTAAGTGAGATAATAAGTGAGGTAGGTCAGCGTATAAATGATTAGTTTTAAATTGTGTTTTAGTTATTGTAATTATTGGTTTTAAGGTAGTGGTATATACGTAATTTTGATTACAAAGTAAGAGAAAAAATAAGATAATTGTATAAGATTTTTACTATATAAGGAAACAAGAACAAATTTAGGAGACCGACAAATATGATAAGTGATCACATTTTTTTTTTTGGAGCCGTAGGGTTATGAATTGAGATAGATTGATTACAGTTCTTGTGAAATATAGTTATGCAAATTCTATAGCCTGTACTTCCTCGTATCATAGTTTTCAATAGCGCGCTATAGAGGCGCAATAGCGGCATAGCGTAGCGGAAAGGCACTTTACTGCTACGGCCGCTCCGCAATTCCGCGTTTACGCAATAGTGGTGTAGCGGCGTTACGCTATTCCGCTATTGTAGCTTATTGAATTATTTTTTAACACGTAAATAATTGAAATCCAACTTTAACTTATAAAAGTACTTTTTTATTATAATATAGACAAAAAAAATATTTATCTTAAATCTTAACTAAATTTTTAGATTCATTCCAAGAAAAGAAACAAATTAAAAAGCCAAAAATTGCAAGATTTGACTTATAGCAATGATGTGATTGGTCTTATTGTTTTGAATGATTCCAATGAGTGGTTAATTGAAGAAGTTATTGATGCCAATAGGTCTGCTATCTACACTAAGATACAAACATAAATACATCAATGAGAAAAAAAGCTATAGGTACTTCTAGCTCTAAAAAGGAAAATGATATTATATACAGTGATGAACATATAATTGAATAAATGGATGAGAATGAAGAAGAGGAGGAAGAATATATAGACAAAAATAATTAAGCGGAAGAAATTTTTTTATCAAATTTTGATTTGATTAGCTTTGATATATATCTATCACACAATAGTGATCTAATTATTTTTGTTTATATAACTATCTAATAGTTATGATCATATATATATATATTGGCATTTTATTGGTTTGAGTGATAATTCTAAGATTAATTTATAGGTTTTTCTTATGTATTTTTGTTATAATTTCGTATAATAATAATTTATATATATTCTTAAATATTTAAATAGCAGTCATACCGCTATCCCGCTAAAGCATTTTAGATGTTGACCGCTACGCACCGCTATTCGTGATTGACAACTATGCCTCGTATAGAACCTCAAATCATTTGAGATTTGAGTCAATTATGAAAACAAGGGAATGATATATAGCCTATAAGTCCCAATAAAATAAAATAGAAATAAAAATTATAGGTTGTGCAATTTGGCTTTAGTTTAATTCAGCTCAGCTAGGAAGTGGACTGGGTTTTGCTTTTGGCAATTTGAATTCTCTCGTTGGCCTGAACATGCTTAGTTCAGCTCAGTTGGGAAGTGGACTGGCTTCAGCGTTTGGTGTTTTGTGTCTTCCCCTCCCCCCATAGGCTTTGTTTTTCTTTCAGAACTCATCTCAACTGTGAATTACAGTTCCATATCTTTGAAATTTTGACATTGATTGTGTCAGTTGATCGAGAAGTTCAGTTCCCCATTTTTGTAATTTTCTTCTTATTAAATTGCAATTAGAGAAGACACTTGGATGATCTTAGTATGACTTGAAACACTACTTCACAGAGAGAAGACTGGAGACAACGCCCCTTGCCTGAGGAAATGATACAATATGCTCGAATTGATGCACACTATTTGTTGTACATTGCATATTGTCTATGTCAGGAGCTCATGGAGAAAAAAGATGGTAAGCTTGCCGTGGTTATGCATCTTAGAATTAGCCTTTGGCTTGCTATTAATAACATGCTATATAATGAAGCAATTTTCTTATATACTATATATCATTAATTATGTTAATACTAGTCCCTTAACTATGTCTAATTGCTAAAATTCATGAAAGATCACAATGCCAATCAAAAGTGCAAGCTTTGTGTTTTTGTTTGTGTCAATAGTTTGAAGTGCAATTTTTACTTACATGCATTGCTTGAGAGTGAATGTACAATGAATGGATTTTTGTTATTATTTATTTTTGGCTTCATCTCCTAGATTTGTAGGATGAAATCGAGTTGGGGAAACTTTAACTCTCTAGATTGGTTATTATTTTCTAAAATATGTAGCAGTTTGTGCATGTTCAATTGCACATGCTATTTTTCTTTAGAAATGATCCATTATATAACTGCAAAAAGGAAATCGAAGAAAGCATGTGATCGTAAATGTATTATGACATGGGAGAATTTGCATTATTAAGTCAGCTGAATTACACGCATTACTTAACTTGTCTTTTTCTATTTTTCAACTTTTTTTACTGCCAAATTTCTGAAGAAAATAAGTGCATCAGAAAATTCACCCCCTGGTGACAAATTGCATTTTCTTCTCGAGGCTAGTCGACGCTCCAATGCAACATGTTTGCAGCTTTATGCAAAAGAAATTGAAGCCTGTCCAGGAGAACTAGCTGCATCATCTATAATTTCTCGATGCTTGAATGATCAGGGGAATATATCGTCGAACTTTTCTGACACAAAGGTATATTGTTACTGGAGCTTCTATACATATCAAGACTGCCATGGATCGCATGATACTCATGCTGAACTTTTCTGTCAGTTCCAGGAACTTGTGAGGCGACTCTGCTTATGGAGGGATATAACGGTCAGTGTGAAAATGTCTCTCTTATGATTTTTCATTAATGTGTGTGGAGGGAGGGGCTAATGAACATGATTTATGGAGAAGTAGATTGAATGAATGCTTGGCTATATTAACAGTACAAAAAGTCTAAGCGTGTCTGAAGTTTGATTTAAATATGAAATTCCAACTGTATAATATATTAATGGAAATTAGACACTTCATTTTTTCCATCTATGATCAGGCACTTCTACACTGTGCACTCTTGCTTCACCACCAATGTCTTTTTCGATCATAGTTCAATTGCCTAAACTGCCACTCTCACTACTGCCATTCACTACTTGCCAACTTTATGACTCATTTCAGCTCCCTAAACAGCTTTTGTTCATATCTTGAGTAAACAGATTCACAAGTAAGCAGCTAAAGTTAATTTTGTCTTTCTAAGGAAACACACTTGTTTACTCACACTGACACAAACACGTACCTTTGTTTGTTGTCATTGGAAAATGGCTGCTTTGTGCTTCTGTGTGTCTAAGGAACTACTTGAATAGATTTGTAGATAGATATTTCTGCAGTCATTTCTAAAAGTCATGCTTACCATCTATTTTCCTGTACCATAACAAAGTTGAAGTACTATGTCTGCATTGTGCACTAACTTGGTTGAATGACATTGTTTTAGGCTCGTCTCCACGATGAGAGCTTGAGGTTTGTTTTATCAGATAATGCGATCATTGCACTGGCAGCTAAGGTTCCAGCTAACGAAACAGATATCTTCAGTCTTATATCCAAAGCTGACCAAGATGTGGAATTTACTGTCCTTGTTCCTTCTCAATCTCCATCCCCTGTAATTTTCTGTCATTTAGAAGATCTTCAATGCTTGCTTCAAGCAAATACCGACAACTCAGATAATATATTTGAGCATTTCATTGAGCAACACTTAAGTCCAGCTGGTAGTTGTCCTCTCTCTGCATTCAATTACAATTTGCTGTCTAAAACTAACTTCCGATTAACCAATAAATCAACATCGAATCGCAATGGATTTCGAGCTTCAAAACACATCACAAAGAAGGCCTCCCGAGATCTATTTGTTAAAAAGTTTTCATGCAAATCCCCGGTTTACCACAACTGCAAGATCTATGCAAATGATGGTCGATTATTGTGTTACTGTGATCGCAGGAAGCTTGAATGGTAGATATCTATTTATTAGAGGATCTAGACTATAGCTCTCTACACATGTCAAAGGTGTTAAATCTATTATTTTCAGGTATATCAATCGGAATCTTGCAAAACTTGTGGAGGAGGATCCTCCTTCCATCATGCTGCTTTTTGAACCGAAAGGTCGCCCGGAAGATGAGGACAATGATTTCTACATTCAGAGTAAGAAAAATATTTGTGTTGGTTGTGGCGAAGGCAAACACTACTTACGGTACAGAATTATACCCTCATGCTACCGAATGCACTTTCCTGAGCATATGAAAAGCCATCGTTCCCATGATATTGTACTTTTATGTGTGGATTGTCATGAAATTGCTCACGCTGCTGCTGAAAAGTACAAAAGACAAATAGCTGATGAATTTGGAATACCATTATTTGTTCGCAAAGTAGTTGACTCATCTAAGTCACAAGAAGTACCTGCATCTTCTTTGCTTGTTACATCCTCTGAGGAGAATGGTGTATCTCCTTTACAGTTACGCACTGCTGCTATGGCACTGCTGCGGCATGGACCACAAATGCCAGCCCAACGACATAAAGAATTAATGCAGGTATAGAAATGCATGGTTATGGCAGTTTTCAAATTTGATTGTGTAGTTGAAATGCCTTTATGTTTGGACATCAAGTGTTATATGTTATGATTTTATATCAACTATGCTCAACTCTTGTAGACTACTCTATGATTTGTCAAGAAACCTATATTGATTTTTTAATGGGTAGAGTTTGGCAATGAATGATACAACATAGATAGATAGGTTAGTATGTATATTGTTGGTATATTCAAAACTATTCTTCAGGGTTATTTTTTGGTTTTCATATTTAGCAGGAATAGATATATGTATATATATCCCTTTTCATGTATGTCTCATTTTACACCCCCTGTTGACTTCCATGGAACCTTCTTGTATACATTTCTTCAAAACACAGGATTATCCTTTTTTCGTATGTGCCATTTCTCAAAAGTTATAGTTTTGTATAGGTCGTCAAGGCATACTATGGAGGAAGGGAAATATTGAATGAAGATCTAGAAAGAGCTTTGGTGGTTGGAATGAGTCCTCACGAGAGGAAACGATTCGAGAAAAAGAGAGGTTATACATTTAAACATTTCACTCGAGGTATCATTCAAAATCACGGGAAAGGAAACAACATCAACAATAAGGCACCCATCTCTATCGAAAATGTGCTACAGGAAGATTGTGAGGGCATTTCAAAGGAAGAGTGTATGGGAGTGAATCTTCTACCTTTGTCTTCTGGTTCTGAAGCCAATGCTGCAAAATATACTGGTGGGGATGATGATTTTAGGGAAGATTTAAAGATACCAAATGGTGATGTTTCTACAAGTGAAAACTTATCAAACGGAACTGCTCCAGTGCATGTTAGAGATACTTTACTTAAGCATGAGAAGCTGTCTTTGTTAGGACATGGACCACATGGGAAACAGGTAGTCGAACATCTGCTGAAGGAGTACGGGGAAGATGGGATTCGCGAATTTTGTCAGAGGTGGAGACAAGTTTTTGTTGAAGCTCTTCACCCTCGATTCTTGCCTGGTGGATGGGATGTGATGCACAGGTACGCCTGAGTTTATCATAAGACAATATAGTGTACATTACTGATTAACCCTGATGAACTAGGGCATGTTCAAAGCAATTGTTTCTTAAGATGGTATCTTGTTTTCGAAAAATACGAGAATATTGTAGTTATATGTTTTATAGTTTCTTTGTCCTTTGTATTGGTATATAGTTGCATGCATTGTTACTAGTTTTGCCTTTGTTTGTTACAAAATGAACGTACATACATACATGCTTGCTATATGAGCCTAATTTGCGTTTTACTTTGTTGTAAAGGATTTGATGTTTGCGACACTGTTTTTGCCAGTGGTAAAAGAGATTTTGGCGAATTCAGCGTCTACAAACCTGGGAAGAAAGCAGCTTTGATGACCTGACCTGAGGCTTGTCCTAGTCCTCCTTCAGGTTAGAACTATATTTATGAAATTAATTATCCTGTTTTGGCAGATAATTCGTAAGAGATCAGACATACATACATATATATATATATATATTTAGTTTACTAGCTCGCTCCTTGTACCATTTATGACCACCCCAAAATCAAGAAAGTGCAAGTGCACACATGAGACTCGATTTCATCTTTTAATTTTGTTGATTAGACAAACTAATATTTTATCTAATGTGTTGCTTGATCGAATCCTAACCCCGTCCAATAGCTGACATATTCAAGTTTCTGGACAGCCATCCCCCATCCCCCATCCCCCTTTTAAGGCCGATTGAGTTGCCTAAGAAAACATCTCCAATCTCAAATACACCCGTAAGACTTTTTTTATTATTATAAATGTTGTTATAAAATGCAATATATACACATTAAAACAATATATATCTTACTCACTAACAACAAAATATTAATTTTTATATTAACAACATAATTTTTGGTACTTAAAATAAACACATTCATCCAAAATCACTAAGGAAACAAACTTAAAAATTCCCTCAATTCCGAGACAGATGATGCGTTTTTTAGTTAGTGTCTTTTTATATAATTAGTTTATGTAATAAAAATATGTGCTATTTTTATATTTTAGATGAGCCGGTGCCAGACTATTCGAGCTTGAATATATATTAAATTGATTGAATAGACTATTCATGTCATTAATGTGTATAGTTTTTTTCGAAAGTCCTATTGAAAGAACTCTATAGTTGAACGGATGGCTGACCTTGAAAGTCTCTCAAGATGGATGATATTATTACTCATAATGTAGTTAAAGATTGATCACCATAATTTATGCCTATAAATAGGCACTTGTAATTCGAGATGGCGTGCCCGGGCCCCAAGAGATTGGGCCGTGCTTGGCCCGGGGTGTGTTTGTTTGGGGGTTTGAATTTTGAGTTGGGATTTGAATAGTAAAAATTTTGAATTTGAATAGTGATATGATGTGAAATAAATAGGTGTTGATGTGATGTTTTGAATGTAAAATTGATTTTTAGTATAATATAAAAAATAAAAAATAGGTGTTTGATTTGATATTTTTAGGGAAAAAAAAATTGGATGAATAGTGTAAATTCAATCCAATCACTCAAACAAACACACTTTATATTTAAATTTAAAATAAAGTATTTATAAATATATTAAGAAATAAATACATATTAATAATTGAAAAATAATCTAATGGATGATGTCCTCTATTATTGTTGATAAATTAAAGTTCAATTCTTATACCTATCATTCAAATTTTAAAATATTTAACTGAAAATAAAAATCGGGCTAGCCCGATCAAGATTTTGAGGTATTTATTTAATTATCTTCTTTCAACACAATTATTACTAATATATAAATTTTAGATTTTTTCCACCGGCTATTGTAATAAAAAGGCATCTGAATATGACAATGTATAAATTATCTGAAAATAGTACTAGTAGTAATAATAATTTTATTATGAACATACAATTATATGTAGTTTTTTTTTATTATTATGTACACTGAAGGTATATATTTTGATAACTTAGAATGTTTATATTTTCGTAGTTTTAAGATTTATATTTTAAGAACCTGAAAGTTCGTATTTTAAAACCCTGATGGTATATATTAAGTACCCTGAAGGTGCATATTTTGAAACCCTCTAATATTGTATATTGTGTGCTCTGTAGGTATATATTTGAAATTCGGATGATTTATATTTTGAGCATTTTGAAGGTGCAATGTGATAATATATATTTGAAACTAATTATATATAATTATTTTTACTCTCATATTTTGCAATAATGTAACAATTATGAATTTAATGTAACAATTATGAATTTAGTTCAGATTATTGATATATTTGTTCTTATATTTTTTTTCAGAAGAAGAAATATGAATATTGAACACGCTATAATAAATAATACAGAAGAAAATTTATGTCTAATTGATAGTGCATCAACGCACACCATCCTGAAAAATAAGAAATATTTCACCAATATGAAGTTGAGAAAATTTGTGTTAATACAATAGGTGATAGTACGAAATTGATTGAGGGCTCCGGAAGAGCCATGATACTTCTCCTTGAATGAGTAAAACTTGACATTCCAAATGCTCAAAGAAATTTGTTGAGTTTTAATGATATTCGCAGAAATAGAAATCAGACAAATAATAAATTTTTGTTTATTACTGTTATGTATAAAATTTATAATTAGGTTAAAAGACCCAAGTTAGATGAAGATGTGAGCCTATAATTGGGTCTGTTAGACTAATTAAGGGGTATTTCAAGATAATCGGGTGAATTGGACGTATTTCTAAGGAAATAGGTGGGTCGGATGGTCCGTAGGTCGGTTAGTCCACAGGTCGGACGCTCCGCAGGTCGGTTAGTCCACAAGTCGGAAGGTCTGCGGTCAGACGGGCAGGTCGGTTGGTTCACGGTCAGATAAGTAAGTCGGAAGGTCTGCGGTCGGACGGGCAGGTCGGTTGATTCGCGGTCGGATAAGTAAGTCGGAAGGTCTGCGGTCGGACGGGTAGGTCGGTTGGTTTGCAGTCGGATAGACAGGTCAGTTGGTTTGCGGTCGGATAGGCAGGTCGGTTGGTTCGCGGTCGGATAAGTAAGTCGGAAGGTCTGCGGTCGGACGAGCAGGTCGGTTGGTTTGTAGTCGGATAAGCAAGTCGGAAGGTCCGTGGTCGGACAAACAGGTCGGTTGGTCCGCAGTGGGACGAGTAAATCGGTTGCTGTGGAGGTCGGATGCTGCGGAGAGCGAGTGAGAGCCGTAGTTTAGTCGGCTGGATGACGCGGTTGGTAAGACAGTTGAAAACACGTGTCAACAAGAGAAGAATTAGTAGACGGTTGAGAGGTTGCGTTGTAACCGTTTGGGCGACTGTTCCAGGTACTGTTTCTGAGGAATATTTAAGAATCGGGGTCAGCAACTGGCAGGGAATCTTCAATCATCTTCAAACGACAGCAAAGTCAGTTATTTGGGGATCATCCTTTAATTTTCAGTCTTTTATTTTCCAGTTTATTTCTGTATCGTACAGTGTTTAGAAATTCCTAATCTCAGGCACTAATTATATCAAATTCGAAGATAATTTCCTATTTTCGCATTTTACTTTTTATTGTTGAAAAAACACATCAACAAATTGGTGACCACAATGGAAGAAAGGCAAGATTGTTGATCCTACATCAACAGAGAATTTCATACGACTGAGGTCCGGCCGAATCATCAGAAAAATCAGTATGGCAGGCTCACAACCTCAATCATCATCAGCACCAGTGGGAGAAAATATTTCACCACCTGTCATGCCAAATCCAGGGGAGATTCCCCAACCTCCTACCGATTGGTTGTCTTATGTTCAACAATTGAACAATCAGCAAACTTCGGCTATGCAGAATATGTTGCGCGAGCAACAGAATCTCATGCAGAACATGTTAGATCAAGCTTTATCAAGGGTTACTTTTCAACCCACTCAGACACCGCCAGGAATATCACCATCAAGAATGCAAGCAAATTTTGCAGGGCCATCATATGTTGATAGTACACTGCCAAGCGCCACAACGTTCAACTGAACAGATAAGGGAAAGATTCCTCTAACTTTCCCTAATAATGTTCCTTTGGGACCAAGAGTTGACAATCTGCAGCCAAACGTTGTTAGGGAAGAGAGGCAATGAGCACATATTCAGGATCCTATCTTTATCCCTGATCATCAAAAACCCCGTGTGGATCCTGAAGAGATTGCACAAGTGTTGAGGGTGCATTTCGGTTTGAATCCTTAGATGGCCAACCGTCCTGCTTATCAAAGATCTTTCCCCGAAAGGATCATTAACGACTATCCACTTCCAAGGAATTATCGACCACCTGATTTCCATGCTTTTTCAGGGGAAGACGGATCCTCCACCATAGAGCATGTGGGTCGTTTTACAGCACAGTTGGGGGAAGTTGGGAAATAATCCTTTTTATAAACTACAATTATTTGGATTATCTCTTACCAGAACAACTTTTTCATGGTTTGTAAATCTGCCACCTGGGCAAATACAAATTTGGGAAGGTTTGAAAATGGCGTTCCATGCTAGATTATTCAATCATTTACCAACTGTTTCTCTTACCGATTTATTGGAATTAAAGCAATATCTAGAAGAGTCAGCCTCACAGTTTATTGAAAGGGTACGATTGATGAAAGGACGTTGTCCTACTATAATCAATGAAAAGAAATGACCAATTTAGTGGTTAGAAATATGCATGGCCGCATAAGAGAAGCACTCACTGCTCATGATGTGGAAGATTTGGCAAGTCTCGCTGCCAAGGCTGGACGTTTGGAGTCTCTTTTTAGAGAAAATGATCAGAATTTCAGACGTAATAAAGTTCAACATATGGCAAGTATGGAAACAGAAGCATGCGACTTTGATTTTGATCAGACAGAAGAAATGGCGGCTGAAATCATTTCAGGAAAGCCTTATATGTGCTCTAAATTAAAACCAGTACCAGGAACTGAAGGAAGAGAGCAACCTACATTTGATAATTCAAAGGCTGATGAAATTTTTGATATTTTGCTAACTGACGGCCAGATTCGAATTCCAAAAGGGCAAAGGTTGGCTACTAAGGATGAAATCAAAGGAAGACCATATTGTAAGTGGCATAACTCTTTCACACACAATACAAGTCAATGCACTCATTTTCGAAATGAGATCCAAAAAAAGGCCATTAAGGCAGGTCGGCTCAAATATATCACTTTGGGTGTTGAGCAACAACCTTTTCCAAAAGTAACCACATCAATGGTTAATATACAAGCAAGTCCCAGATCGGGAAAAGGAAACTCATCAAACAGTGGCCGACCAGAAGAGAAACTCAAGGTTTGTGAAAAAACAGTGGCCGAAAAATCGGATAATCAAGATAGTTCTTTTAATGTGGAGTTAAAGGAGCAAGTTTTGGTTCGAGACCACCCGACTAGAAGAACTGGCTCGGTCGGGAGCAAATGGGCTCGAAATAAAAAACCTTTACCAATT